TTGTTTTTCAAGCCTTTGGAGGTTTCGAGAAATTAATTTTTAAGTACGGCGTTGCAGATTTCGTTTTAAAAAATGTGATGTAAACTTAAACATTTTTTTGTAAAATCGCCTGAAGATGATTGAAAACGGCAACCTGCCGAATATGAAACCTCGAGTTTGCTCAATATTTTTGTTGCATTTTCAAGTTTGAATTTTGTGTGGTTTTGGAACAATTAATTTTAGAATCGGGCTTTGTAAAAGAGCAAATAACAATCGGAATTCCGGGCAAATTAGAATTTTCCGGAAAAATCACCTGGTAATGACCCAAACACGAAACGTTCTAGTCAAGCAAACTAGATTTTGCTTTATTTTTTGCAACTAACTTGGTAACTGTGGATTTTGCGGTTTTGGAGTTATACATGTTCAAACGAGGAGTTGCATCCACCTTTTGAAGTGATCCGCTGCAAATTTCAATATTTTCTCTATAACCACCTGAAAACGATGCAAAAACGAAAATTGTTCAGTGCGTAGCTCAGACTTAGGCGCTTTTCCGCCAATTATCCCCAAGCTTGTGCTCTTTGGAGTTTTGGAGAAATTAATTTTTGAATCCGGCCCTGTAAGGTAGTCTCTCAATCATCTGGTTCAAGTAAAAGTGGGAAAATGGCCAAAGGAAAATGTTGTTCATTGTTTCCAATTTCCATCGAACGTTTCGCTCCCATCCGCTGCAACCATCCCCAAGCGATGTCCCCAGGTTCTTAGTGGCTCTCTACTAATGCGGTTTTCTCTCTATTGCAGACCATAAAATACCTTTCAAAAAAAGTCACCCCATCCCTATCGACCATCGAAAGCAGCTGGAAACCGGCCCCCATTGTCCAGGACGGCCGTCTGAACTTCACCAGGTCCAGATCGCTGCCCCCCAACTTGAGCCCCATCAAAATAGACTTACCCTCGCCTATGGACTTCCTGCCGCGCCCCATCGCCGAGCAAAAATGCCCCAAAACAGCCCCCCAAAGTCGCGCAGGTTGGGGCAAACCCACCCTAAAGGTGGCCGGAAAATTTCGAAAATCCCGACCAAAAACGCGAGGAACCAGCGAAAAATCCTGCGTTCTACCTGATAGCGCGGCGCGGAAGAAACTGCTGATCAACAGCAGGAATTTGCACGTTAGGAGAACGGCGAGTCTGCCAGGCGCTGGACAGGCGATGTCCACGTTCAAGGAACTGTACAAAGTTTCCCCGATCAAGGCCCTCATCAGTCTCAACGATGAAGTGAAAGGGAAGAAGTACAAGCGCACCATTCTCACCGTGAGGGAAAGAGAAAAAGTGAAGTTTCACTATCTGTCCGACAATCCGGAGTGCCGACAGTGCATGTCCAAGAACCAGAAGCGATTCGCCGAATTCTACAAGAAAAACTCGGAAAAAATGGGCAAGTTTGCCCACACCAGACGCGCCTTCAGCACCTACGTGAACGATCCGCTCCTGCGCCAGATGGAGTACGAACAGGCCAAGGCCAAAGAGTTTCAGCAGGAAATTGTGCGTGTGAAGGACCAAAATCTCGCCACTGGCCTCAAGGGCCAAGCGGTCACCCTCTTCAATCTGATCAAGCTCCAATCGAGCACCCCGACAAGCAGCTTCACGCCTACCAACTCGTACAAGTTTGAGGCGAAGCAGGTGCCCGAAGAGTACAAGTTTCGGCAGGAGGACCCGAACAACCAGAAGAAACCGGATCCATATCCGCTCGAAATGTTCAACGAAGACTATATTCCCGAGCTGGAATCAGCGCGGGGCGTCAGCAGGGCGCAATCGTGTCCAGAGTTCGTGGAAAACGACCTGCAGGAGCCGGATGAGGCCCTGGAGGATGTGGAGGAGGCCCCCAAATGGAAATCCAGTCTGGAGCCTCCAGGCCCTTTTGCCCGCTCACGCAGTAAGTTTTTGTTGAAACTTTCCCTAGTCCACCCTGTACATTCTGGCAATTTTTCTCCGCCGATTTCTGCTGTCCTACACGCGAATAAACAAAGCGTACACCACAAACGCACGTGATAAACAGAGAAACCACTACCTCCAAACTGGGCGCAGCCCCGACTAGGTCGGGTAATCCCGGTGCCGCTCGGGGCTCCGCCCACAAGCCGCCATCTACTACCCTCTCGTTGTCCTCCTCTTTCTAATTAATCCGCAGGCATCAGCTGGCTCCTCCCCTCATTTTCCTCTCCCCAACCTCCTCTCCTTCTCCGCAACCCCAATATCCGATATGAAAATAAAGTTTCTCCAACAGGAAACCAGGTTCTCTCCCCCTGCGGGTCCTGCGGCCGCAGGCAGCCGCCCCGCAAAAAACCGCCGAGCGACAGCAGCAAAAAGCCGGCCAGAAAGGAGAAGAAGCAGCGAAAAAAGGCGCTGCTCAGACCCAACGAGGAACCGAGCTGCCACGCCCCGCCCAGACGGCCCGACTTGGTGTCCCGGGAGAGCCCCGCCCCGTATCCCCCTAAACCGGCCGGCAGCATGGAGGCGGGCAGGAAAAAGTGTCCGGACTGCGGCAGCGGGCAAAAGAGGGCGCCCTGCAAGATTCCGGTGCCGCGCAAGAAGGAGGAGGACGACCCGTGCGCGCCCCCCAAGCCGGACAAGCCGTCCTGCAACAAGAAGAATCCCTGCTACCAGGCGCAGAACTTTTTCAGCACAGGAAACGAGCAGCAGACGTTCCAGTTTGCCGGGAAAAAGTGCCCCGACTGCGGCTCTGGAAAGAGGAGGCCTCCCTGTAAGATCCAGGTGCCCGCCAAGGAACAGGAGGAGGACCCCTGTTTGCCCCCAAAGGCGAAAAAGACGCCCTGCCACAAGGAGAGCCCGTGCAATCAACACTACAAATACTTGCAGCCGACGAGCAAGCAGAACGCGACTCGTCCCAGAGAATACTCATTTCCTGCTGTCACTCTAGCTCCAGCCTGGAAAGGCGCCCAACATGCCACCGCGAAATACTCCTTTCCTTTTCCCGAGGACTTCAATTTTAATGGGGCACACTCCAAGTCGGCAGAACACAAGAAGGAAGATCTGAGTGAGCGTGAAGCACCCAATAACACGCCACCTGCGCGCTACTCATTCCAGCGACCATCCAGGCTGGACCTGGACATGCAAGTGGCCAATAAAAACCACTCAAAAATGGTAAACAGCAGCAAGTTCCTGGAGATTTTCAGAGCGAGGCAGGCCGAGAGTCGGGAGTTGATCCAGGCTGGAAAGGAGGCGAACAGCACGAAGAGCGGTTACTTCATTCATCCCAAGGACAGTCTGAATGAGAAGATTTGCGACGCCATCAGCACCGTGCCTAAAGTGGAACTGGCCGAGAACTCCAAGCAGATGATTGCCAAGGCGATCAAGCGGATGATCGAACCCATTATTGAGAAGGAGTTTCTGAAGTACGAAGAAGTTAAAGCTGGTAAGTAGCCGATCTATAAAAATTGATTACTCCCGAACTGGAGGAGCTAGAAACGTGCGGTTATGAGCTGTGGGTAGGGAAAAGATAGTGCTACCAGGCGGCGGAGTTTCGGTCGTGGGTCATCTTCAGGCGTTTGGTGGCAACTGTGGAAATATCACGCCACCTTGGGCGCCGGATGTTACATGGCTGGA